CCCACTTTCGCTTCCTGTCTGCCTGGCCGTGTGGTGAGCAGATAAGGAAGTGGCTTCTCTGGGTGACGGCGCTCTGCGGTCGCCCTGGCCCTCATCCACGGGTTGAGCTTTCCTGCCTCCTGCAACATTCAGCTCCTTCTCTGGGTGACTCTGGCAACTCCGGACCTGTCTCTAGACACCATCCAGAATTCTTTTTTTAAAAATATATTTTTTTACTAGAGGCCCGGTACACAAAATTTGTGCACGGGAGGGGTTGTCCCTCATCCCGACACGTACCCTCACCAATATGGGAAACCTCGGGGGATGTCCGACTGCTGGTTTAGGCCCAATCCCAGCTTAAACGGGCAGTCGGACATCCCTCTCGCAATCTGGGACCACTGGCTCCTAACTACTCACCTGCTTGCCTGCCTGATCACCCCTAACCACTCTGGCTGCCTGTCTGATTGCCCTAACTGATCCTGGTAGCCCCTCACTGCCCTCCCCTGCTGGCCTGGTCACCCCTAACTGCCCTCCCCTGCTGGCCTGATCACCCCTAACCACTCTGGCTGCCTGTTTGATTGCCCTAACTGATCCTGGTCGCCCCTAACTGCCCTCCCCTGCTGGCCTGGTCACCCCTAACCATCTCTGCCTCAGCCCCACCCCCACCCCCATCCATTCAGATGGATATCCAGAAGATGTCCAATCTAATTAGCATATTACCCTTTTATTAGTACAGATTGTTGATAGTATTTTAAATATCTCCTGTTTTCTCCCCATTTCTCCCTCTCCTCCCAGCCCCTATCCACCCAGACACCCACCTCCAGGTCTCCACCACCCTATTGCTGTGTCCATGGGCTGTGCATGTAAGTATATAAGTTCTTGGGTTTATCTCTTCTCATCTCCCAACCCCACATCGAGGTAGGTCAGTCTGTTCCTTGCCTCCCTGCTTTGGATCTTGTTGTGTTGGTCACTTCATTTTGTCCATTTGATTCCACAAGTAAGTGAGATCATGTGATGCTTGTCTTTCTCTGACTGGCTTATTTCATTTAGCATCGTGCTTTCCAGGCCCACCCCTGCTGCCCCAAAGCTTAAAGGCATCCCTCTTATTTACAGCTGCTAGTATTCCATGGTGCAAATGACCCACAGCTTTTTATACATTCATCTAATGATGGGCACCTGGGCTGTTTCCAAATCTGTTATTGTGAATAACGCTGTTATGAACATCAGGGTGCATATATTCTTTCTGATTGGGGTTTGGGGGTCACCTTCCCTAGTTCAACCATCAAGACCCATCCCCAGGAGGGGACGAGGGGGCGGGGTCTTCGGCTGCTGTCCGTGGTGCTGACTGATTGCTCTGTGGTTGCTAGTTTCAGCACCATGGTCAGAGTCCATGGCAATTGTGCATTCGCTGAGCCCTTGTGTTTGGTCCTCTATATGGCCTCTATGCAGGAGTCAAATCCTATATAATAAAGAGGAGATGTGCAAATTGACCGTCACGACCTCACACAAGATGGCCGCCCCCATGTGGTCACAAAACGGCCACCACAAGATGTCCAGCAGGAGAGGGCAGTTGGGGGTAACCAGGCTGGCAGGGGAGGGCAGTTGGGGGCAGTTAGACATTAGTCAGGCTGGCAGGGGAGTGGTTAGGGGGTGATCAGGGTGGCAGACAGAAGCAGTTAGGGGCAATCAGGCAGGCAGGCAGGCTGGTGGTTAAGAGCCAGCAGTCCTGGATTGTGAGAGGAATGTCTGAGTGCAGATTTAAGCTGATCCTCGGGCCTAAACCAGCACTTGAACATCCACTGAGGGGGTCCCAGATTGGAGAGGGTGAAGGCTGGACTGAGGGACACCATACCTCCCTCACACCCCCCCCACACACACACACACACATCGTGCATGAATCAAACCAGCCAGTTCACTGGGCCTGTAGTCTATATATATATTAAAGGCTAATATGCAAATTGCCTGCTTGGGAGTTCCACTGGGAGAGCGGGAGTTCGATCACTCACTATGACGTGTGCTGACCACTAGGGGGCAGCACAGAACTTGGTGGGAAGCCAGCAGCTGTAGGGAGTGAGGGAAGGAGGAAATGGGGAGATGGGGAGGCCAGGCCTAGGGACTCTACCCTGCACAAATTTTGTGCATCAGGCCTCTAGTGCACATGTGTCAAACACAAGGCCCGCGGGCCAAATCCGGCCTGCCAGGCCTTGCAATGTGGCCCGCACCGCGCTGTCATCACTGCACTCCGCTGCGTTTCCATCACAATGACAGTTTATGACTGTTCAGTAAACCATTCGGCCCGCGATTTAGGCTGGATTTTAGATTTTGGCCCCTTCTCTGATTGAGTTCGACACCCCTACTCTAGTGTAAGATATTTAGTCAGAGCAGGAGGGTATGGGGAAAGTACTAGGCGATGACAGTAGCTGACAATGACCTATACGCCCCTCACAATCCGTAGAATCTTGGAACAGGGAGAGGATTCGGAAGCTGTCGACGTGGGCCCCAAACTCAGCATCACAATCTCTGGAAGCAGCCCAGGTTGTCCCACAAGGTGAGTTCTGACCTGTTTACACCAGAAGGACTCCTCTGGGGCCCGGTCTGGGATGCCGGCAACTGGGTGAGACTACAAGTTAACAGACTGGGTCCTGGACAGGGTGGCTCTGTTGGTTGGAGCACCATCCTGTACACCAAAAGGACACGGATTCTATCTTCACAAGTTCGATCCCTGGTAGGGGCACTGAGGGGAGGCAGCCATCCTTCACAGCGATGTTTCCCTTTCTTTCTTCCCCTTCCTTTCTCTATAATAATAATAATATGCCGAAACCAGTTTGGCTCAGTGGATAGAGCATCTGCCTGCAGATTGAAAGGTCCCAGGTTTGATTCCAGTCAACGGCATGTACCTTGGTTGCAGACATATCCCCAGCAGGGAGTGTACAGGAGGCAGCTAATGGATGATTCTCTCTCATCGATGTTTCTGACTCTCTGTCCCTCTCTCTTCCTCTCTGTAAAAATAAATAAATAAAAAAATAAAATAAAATAAAATATATTTTTAAATAAATAAATAATAATAAGGAAATTTGCTAATTGAACCTCACACCATTGCAAATATGGTGGCACCCACAGCCAATAAGGAGGGAATATGCCAATTGACGGCCACACCATCAAAGATGGAAGTGCCCACAGCCACAAGATGGTGTCGCCCAGTCTCCTCAGCCCTGCCAGGGTGGCAGGCATGCATCTGCCTCCAGAGTCCCCCAGTCCCCTCAACCTCCCAGCTGCCCAGGGCTGCCCGAAGGCTCAGGTACCCAGGGCCACCTGAGGCTTGTGCTGTCGGCAGTGGCAGCAGCAGAGGTGTGATGGGGACATCCACTTCCCCTGATCGCCAGATTGCCTCCTACCCGTGAGAGCTCCCAGGCTCTTGGACTGTGAGAAGGGGCAGGCCAGGCTGAGGGACCCCCTTCCAGTGCATGAAAATTCATGCACCGGGCCTCTAGTCTATATATCTAAAAGGCTAAGTGACTGACCATCTGTCTGACCATCCAACTGACAAACCAGCCAGTACATATGATGTGCAGTAACATTTTTTAAAAATAAACGTTGACTCATGCACAATACATATAAAGCTCTCACTGGCGCCAATCACACTCCTGTGTTTCAACCTGTCATTGTCCATCGTGAATTTGGTTGCTTTTGTTGAAAGAAAGCAGCGTTGTCAACAGAATATGTCTGAAGGCCAACAACTGTTGGCACAACATACCTCTGAAGCCGAAAGAAGCTGGCTTTGATCAATTTATATATCATTTCCATGTACATTTTACTAATTTTCTTTCGCCTCTGACACTTCTATTATAGAGGAAGGGCGAGTAGCGATATAAAAATATTTATTCTAATTATTTTCCTTTTGATGTGCACGAATCCATGCACCGGGCCACTAGTAGTAACAATAATACCCATAAAGACATATCCCCATAGGGAACTTCCCACCACCTGGGTCTGGCCGCCTGAACCCCATTCCCGTGGCACCCCCTGCCCTGGCCTGCCCCACCGTCTCCTGGACAGAGTCTCCATGGCTCTGGAGCCGATCTCTCCAGGCAAACCAGGCACAGGGGACTCCCTCCCAGCCTCCCAGCGGCTCTGAGTGCTCTTCCCCCTCCCGTCTTCATCGGCCTTCCAGATGGCCAGATGGGCTCAGCTGCACCCCACCCCACCCACCCCCGTGTCCTTCAACTGATCGGACCTCTCTCTTCCCAAGCCTCCCAGCCCCAGCCTCAGCTTCAGCTCACACGTGACCCGGCCTCCCTCTCCCCCTGAGCCGGCCTCCCCCCAGCCCCGGCCTCCCTCTCCCCCTGCCCCGGCCTCCCTCTCCCCCTGAGCCGGCCTCCCCCAGCCCCAGCCTCCCTCTCCCCATGCCCCGGCCTCCCTCTCCCCCTGCCCCTTCCTCCCTTTCCACTGAGCTGGCCTCCCCGCTGGGCCCCTGTGGGCCTCCAGGTCAAGGCTGGTCCTCACGCCCAGCTCCGACCCTCCCTCTGCGGTCAGCTGTCCCCGCAGGCCGCTGGCTGACAGGGGGCCTGTCTATGGTGGTGGGCAGCTTAGGGCTGGATGTCCTGGCGGGAAAGTCCCCACCACAGGGTCCCAGCTGCCCTTAGAAAACCCCCACCGCCTGGGCTCGCGCGCTCTCTCTCTCTCTCTCTCTCTCTCTCTCTCTCTCTCTCTCTCTCTCTCTCTCTCTCTCTCTGCAATCTGGAAGAAATTACTGGCCCCACAGCCAGACTTCCCCAGTTTCAGGAAATTCCAGGCTGCGCAGGGGGAGGGGAGAGGAGGGACCGGGCTGGGGCATCCCCACTCCCCACCCCCTCGCCCCCTCGGCAGGCAGGCGGCGTGTCCTCCGCGCACACCCCGCCCGGCCCCGGCCGCCCCCACACTCAGCCCCGCGGGGCCTGGGCGTCCCGCCGCCGCTCTCCGGGCCTTCAGATCCCGGAGGCAAACTTTTTGGGGGAAAGGGGAGGGGGCAGGAAGGCGGGGCGGGGCCTGCGCTTAACCCTGTGTGTGCGCCCCGGCGGACGCAGCCGGGCTGGGCGGCCGGAGGCTCCGCGGTGTGGGCTCCGGGATGGCCCCCGCGAGGGGCTGAGCCTCCGCCGGGGCAGGTGAGCGGGGCCGGGGAGTTCTGGGGACATGGGGGGGCCTGGCACCCCGGACCCCGGGCGGCGGGGGGCGCGCGGGAGCCGGGACCCCTGGACCTGGGGCCCGCGGAGGTGGCCCCGTGGGGGTCCAGGGGGACCAGGACCGGACCGGCCACCCCCCCCCCCCCCCCAGGTCCCGCCTGACACTCCCTCCGGCAGGTGAGGCCCGGCCCGGAGGAGGAAGGAGGAGGAGGAGGAGGAGGAGGAAGGCGCGGGCCCGGGACCCAGAGGCCGCGGCGGGCTCCGAACCCCGGGCGGACGGGGCGCCCCAGCCTGAGCGCAGCCGGAGCGCGCCGGACCCGCCGGGCGGGGACCGCGAGGTAAGCGGGGGTTGCGGGGCCGGGGTCCCGGGGTCCCGGGGTCCCCGGATCAGGACCCTGGAGGGACGGCGGCGGCGGAGCGTCCGGGCCCCGCCACGTGGCCCCGCGCCCCGGGTCTGCCCCTCCGGGAACCAGTCGGGCCGGATCCCGATCCGGGGCGGGTGGTGGTTTCCGTCCCGTTGGAGGGGGATGGGGGGGGAAGAGGGGGACCCAGGGGCAGGGAGCCAGCTGTGCTCCCCTCCCTCCTGTCCCGTCCCCCCTTCCCCCCCACCCGCCTCCGCAGCTGGGGCGCAGGGCGGGGAGGGGAGGGGGCGCGCGGGCGGTTGGCAGCCTGGCTTCCCCCACTCTGGCCGCGCCCCCTTTTGCCCCAAACAAGGGCCCCTCTGTGGGAGCCTTGGCCCTGGAGGGTCAGACTTTTTTTCCTTTTTTTTTAAAAAAAAAAAAAATTTTTTATTGATTTTTTTTTTTTTTTTTTTTTTTTTTTTTTTTTTTTTTTTTACAGAGAGGAAGGGAGAGGGACAGAGAGTTAGAAACTTCGATGAGAGAGAATCATCAATCAGCTGTCCCTTGCATGGCCCCTACTGGGGATGTGCCCGCAACCAAGGTACATGCCCTTGACGGGAATCAAACCAGGGACCCCACCCCCTCAGTCCGCAGGCGGATGCTCTACCCACTGAGCCACACCGGTTAGGGCAGGACACATTATATTTGTATGGATTCTCTCCCACCGCAACCTAGGAAATGAGTCCCAGAAACCCCATTTATACATGAGAAAACGGAGGCACACACTAGTTACTACTAAGTGATTTATTTTTATTTTCATCTTTTTTATATTTTTTTTACAGAGGAAGGGAGAGGGATAGAGAGTCAGAAACATCGATGAGAGAGAAACATCGACCAGCTGCCTCCTGCACACCCCCCACTGGGGATGTGCCCGCAACCAAGGTACATGCCCTTGCCGGAATCGAACCTGGGACCCTTGAGTCCGCAGGCCGACGCTCCATCCACTGAGCCACACCGGTTTCGGCGGGACAGACTCTTTAGGGTCCGAACCCCTTTGCGTGGAGCGCAGAACTTGGCTGGAGGGCGGGTGTCAGAGGGGCCGGGAGCTCGGTGGGTGAGCCGGTCATTGCAGCTGGATCTCCGGTGAGACCCTTACCAGCATCAACCACACCCCCATGCAACAGCGAATCTCACTCTTCCTCTTCCTCTCTCCGATCAACCAATTAAAAATATTTTAAGGAAAGCGGACAGGAGGCTCGGAGAGGTGGAGGGACTGAACCCCGAGGTTGCAGAGCTGGGAGGAGGAGGAGGAGGAGGAGGAGGAGGTGAGGTGGCGTTGAAAACCCAGACACAGCCCTGGCCGGTGTGGCTCAGTGGGTAGAGCGCCGGCTGATTGGATGGTTGATCGGAAGGGTCCCGGGTTTGATTCTAAATCAAGGGCAGGCACCTCCTTGGTGGCAGGCTTGATGCCGGGCCCTGGTCAGGGCGCAGGTGGGAGGCAACCGATCCTTGAGTGTTTCTCATCTCACATCGATGTTTTTCTGTGTCTCTCTCCCCCTTCCCGCCCACTCTCTAAAAATTAAAAAGCAATGGAGAAAAAATAGCTTCGGGTGAGGATTAGAAACACACACACACACACACACACACACCCATACCCATAAAAGCCGTTTCTGGGATGGTGCTCATCTGGAATGGAAGAGGAAAAAGGAAAAAGAAGGGAACAAACAGCCATGGCGGAGGGTATAGGAAATCCCTGGCCTTCCTAGCAAACCAAACATCATTTTTTCCACGGGGAAGCCTGCAGCCCGCCCCAGCCCAGGGGGGCAGGGATGGGGGCTGTCATCTCATGTCGCCCTTAGACTCTGCAGTCCGCCTGCTGACACCCAAACCCAGCCCGCCCTCAGCAGGCATCGCTGCTGTGTGACCCGGGGCCATCCACCCCCCCTCTCTGAGCCTCGGCCAGCACGGCTGTAAAGCAGACAAGATGACAGCGGCCTCCCCCTGGGTGGGATGGTGGGAGGGTTACAGGACTTCCCTCCGGGCCCAGAACAAGGGCTTGGGAAAGACAGGGTCAGCATCGCGAGAGTACCTTGCGACCAACCACCCCTTGCACCCGGGCATTCTGCTCCGTCCATATATACATATACATACATATATATATATATATATATATATATATATATATATATATATATGTGTGTGTGTGTGTGTGTGTGTGTGTGTGTGTGTGTAATTGATTTTTCACAGAGAGGAAGGGAGAGGGATAGAGAGTCAGAAACATCGATGAGAGAGAAATATCGATCAGCTGCCTCCTGCACACACCCTCCCCCCCGCCCACGTGGATGTGCCCGCAACCAAGGTACATGCCCTTGACCTGAATCGAACCCGGGACCCTTCGGTCCGCAGGCCGACGCTCTATCCACTGAGCCAAAAAACGGTTTCAGCTTGCTTTCTTTTTTTTTATTCTGCTGTCTTTCAACTGAGTTGACGGAGGTTTAGGGTTGAGGAAGTGGGTTCAGGGTCCCACAGACAGGAAATTGCGGTCAGAAAGGAAGACCTTGGGGGAAATGTGGTGATGGGACCACAGGAGGGCGGGGTGAGGGGCCAGCTAGGGCCAGGCAGGCAGAAGCAGTGGCCGCGAGCTGCCCGGGGAGGCATGGGAGCCAGGAGCTGGGGACAGCCGAGGCGGGAACTCTGGACTCTGGCGTCCCGCAGAGCCGGCTGGGCTGTCTCGGTGAGTCACACACCCCCTCCGAGGCCTGTCTGCTTCCTGGTCTGGGGCAGGGCAGGTGGCCGAGGCGGGGCCGCCCTGAGCACACGCTGAGCATTCGCCATGCACTGGACTATAAGTTCATGGCCCACATCTCGCCTGTCCTTGCAGAGACTCTGAGATGGATGATGTGAGTATCACCCCATTTTCAAGGTGAGGAAGTGAAGTCAGAGAGGTTCAGTCGCTGGCCCGAAGCCACACAGCAAAAGGCACAGGCGGATCCGAACCAGGGCAGTTGGCTTTCTGAGTAATAATGGGCACTGAGAGAGGGGGTTTTTAAAAGTTGGTTTTAATATATATATTGTATTGATTTTTTTTTTTTAAATTTATTTATTTATTTATTTTTACAGAGAGGATGGGAGAGGGATAGAGAGTTAAAAACATCAAAGAGCCAAAACCGGTTTGGCTCAGTGGATAAGAGCGTTGGCCTACGGACTGAAGGGTCCCAGGTTCGATTCCAGTCAAGGGCATGTATCTTGTTTGCGGGTACATCCCCAGTAGGGGGTGTGCAGGAGGCAGCAGATCTATATTACTAACTCTCTATCCCTCTCCCTGTCTGTAAAAAATCAATAAAATATATTTTTTAAAAAACACATAAAAACATCAAAGAGAGAGAGACATCTATTAGCTGCCTCCTGCTCTTCTCCCCCTCCCGCTCCCCCCCCTCCCGCCCCCCGGGGATGTGCCAGCAACCAAGATACATGCCCTTCACCGGAATCAAAGCTGGAACCCTTGAATCCACTGGTCGACACTCTATCCATTGGGCCAAACCGGTTAGGGCTAAACATTGATTTTAGAGAGAGGTAGAGAGACAGACCAAGAGGGAGAAATACCTGTGGCTTCGAATGCACCCCGACTGGGGATGGAACCCACAACCTAGGTATGCCGCGCCTGGGAATCGAACCCGCCACCTCTTGGTGTACAGGATGATGCTCCAAACAACTGAGCCACCTGGCCAGGGCAGGGATTTTGTCTTTTAAACGGTGAATTGAGATTCCTTCGTGAGCGGAGGTCAGCATTTTTTTTTTTAAAGGTTAGAATTGAAAACATCCCAGTGCTTAGCGTGTTTTAACAGTAAGTCTTGTTTTGTACTTTTTTTCCACTTACGCAGGCGACAGAGGGGCAGGCGGGGTGAATGTTTGCACAGGTTGCAATAAAAATGTTTATTCATCTCGATTGAGGTCAGGGAAGTCGGAGAAACACAGCTGAGGTGGCGAATCAAGACTGGTTCTCCCGGAGAAATGAATGTAGAGTGTGCGTGTGTGTGTGTGTGTGTGTGTGTGTGTGTGTGCGCGCGCGCGCGCGCGCGCGTGCGGTGGAGGGCAGTTCTCACGCATGTCCATCTACCACAATTTTAGGCTCTTCCGGCCTTACTGTTCCTCCAGCTGACTGCTGGTCTTTCCCAGGATGCTTGCTGCTGAAAGAACAATGCCGGCTTCTTTTGCCTTCCTCAGAGGGTTTGATCTTTATTTTTTTATATATATATTTTATTGATTTTTTACAGAGAGGAAGAGAGAGGGATAGAGAGTTAGAAACATTGATGAGAGAAAAATCATTGATCAGCTGCCTCTTGCACACCTCCCACTGGGGATGTGCCCGCAACCAAGGATGTGCCCTTGATCTGAATCGAACCTGGGACCCTCCAGCCCGCAGGCCAACGCTCTATCCACTGAGCCACTCCGGTTTCAGCAGACCTTTACGTCTTGTTCCTCCGTGGTTGCTGGGGACGCGTACCTTACCCCACACCCCACCCCACCTCCCCCAGCACAAGCTCGCTTACCAATACAGTTTTCCATGTGGTATTCTTGGAGGTTTTTCCTTGTGCCCTGGGAGGGAGCTGGTGAGGTTGTATCCCTTTTACAGAGAGGAAGCCGAGAGAGTCCCAGACCTGCAGCTGGCAGAGGGTGGGGCCTCATTCAAACAGGGCCTCCGTCATAACCTCACAACCGACGGTTAGCACAAAGGCCAAGGTCACCGGAGGCCCTCCCAGAGGATTCTGGAAAGCAGCCGGCTGCTGCAGGATGTGGGCAAAGGTTGGCAGGCACTTCCCTGTAACATGAGCCCCGAGAGTCCACGTGGCCAGCGGAGAGCTCGCTTCCGGTGTGTGTGCTGCCCGCCCGCCCCCGATGCGTGCCCTCTGGCCCATGTTGTAAGGCAGAGAAATGTATTTATCATCCTCCTGTTACAGAAACCGAGACATAATATGGTCTCTTTCAAAATCTAATTCTCAGGAAGACACGCTGTGCCTGGATACAGAGAGAGCCCCAGGCCTGCCTTAAAAAGATTAGAATTCACCCTCACTGGTGTGGCTCAGTGGATAGAGCTTCGGCCTGTGGACTGAAGGGTCCCAGGTTCAATTCCTGGTCAAGGGCATGTATCTTAGCTGTGGGCACATCCCCCGTGGGGATTGTGCAGGAGGTAGCTGATCAATGACTCTCTCATCGATGTTTCTCACTCTCCCTCCCTCTCCCTCTCTTTAAAAAATCAACAAAATATATATTAAAAGGAAAAAAAAATATTAGAATTCCTGGTTAGCATCTTCAGGCCAGGCCCTTTCCTTCGAGAGGAGCTTGTATTTTGCGACTGGGTGGGTCTAAACACAAATATAATCCAGACATTTTAAAAATAAATAAAACAGGTCAGCATCCCGCCCTCCCCCCAACTGCCTCCCTCTGGAAGTGTGTGGGCCCCAGGCTCTTGTGCCTGAGGCAGCCCTGGGTTCACGGACCCACATGTGTGAGGAGCTGGGAGCTGGGGTTTTTGCCAAGTTTGGGGAGCACCCTCCTGAGGGTGGCTAATTGCCTGGCCTCCGGTGGCAAGTGGTTAGCTGCCCGGCCCCGCCTCTGGAGAGCCCCAGGTTTGTTCTTCTTTTTAGGGGGAAAAAAAAAAAAAAAAAAATATATATATATATATATATATATATATATATATATATATATATATATATATATATATATATATATATATATATTAGCCGAGACCGGTTTGGTTCAGTGGATGAGCATTGGCCTGCAGACTGAAGGGTCCCAGACTGAAGGGTCCGATTCCAGTCAAGGGCACATACCTTGGTGCCCGGAGCACATTCCCAGTGGGGGGCGTGCAGGAGGCAGCTGGTGGATGTTTCTCTCTCATCATCGATGTTTCTAGCTCTCTATCCCTCTCCCTGCCTCTCTGTAAGAAATCAATAAAATACATTAAATATATATATTATTGATTTTTTTTACAGAGAGGAAGGGAGAGGGACAAAGTTAGAAACATTGAGAGAGAATCATCAATCAGCTGCCTCCTGCACACTTCCCACTGGGGAATCGTACCTGGGACCCTTCAGTCCGCAGGCTGACGCTCTATCCACTGAGCCAAGTCGGTTTTGGCACCTCGTGGTGGTCACAGGCAAACCCAGAGCTGAGTGAGATGGGACTCGGGTAGCTGCGACCTAGGGCCTCGTGGGGCCTCAGTTTCCCCACCTGTAAAATGGTGCAATCCCTGCACCATCACCCAGTCTCTGCAGAAGGCGTCCTGGGGCGGCTGGCTATAGACCTGGGTCTGGGGGTGCGGCTCCTATCAGGGTGGCCCCGCTGACCCCCCCTCCCCTGTTCCTCCCCTGCAGATGCCGGTGCTGAAGCAGCTGGGCCCCACGCAGCCCAGGAAGCGGCCGGAGCGCGGCGCCCTGTCCATCTCCGCGCCGCTCGGCGACTTCCGACACACGCTGCACGTGGGGCGCGGCGGCGACGCCTTCGGGGACACCTCGTTCCTGAGCCGCCACGGCGGGGGGCCGCCCCCCGAGCCCCGCGCGCCGCCCGCGGGGGCCCCGCGCCCCGCACCGCCGGCCGCCGCGCCCCAGCCGCCGCCGCCCGCCCTGCGCGCGCCCGCGCCCGCCGACCCGCTGCTGTCCTTCCACCTGGACCTTGGGCCCTCCATGCTGGACGCCGTGCTGGGCGTCATGGACGCGGGGCGCCCCGGGGCCGCCGCCACCAAGCCCGGCGCCGACGCGGACCCCGGCTCCGGGGCGCAGCAGCAGTTCCCCGGCGCCCGCGGCCGCCCCATCGCGGACCTAGAGCTGGACGACATCATTGGCCTGTAGGCTCCCTGCCCCCCTTCCCCCCGCACCCCACTTCTTTATACATAAACCGCTAAGGCCAGCGCCCGCTTCCGTCTCTTCTCTGGGCCGGGAGAAGAGGGGAGGATGGGGTCCCGGGGAGCATCAGGGGTGTCCCCCGCGGCTCTGGACCCAGAGAGGGGACCGGTCACATTGGGGTGGCCCCTTTAGGACAGCTGGGGGGCGGGGTCCCCACGTGGCCGCGCCTCCAGGCCCATTCATTAGGTTGACAGCGCTGCTGCGGGATCTGGGCGGCCTGACCCGCTGCTCCAGCTGCGGGGGACCCTGCCCGGGAGCCGCTGGGGAAAAAGGCCGAGAAAACGGCGCGGTCCCTGGAGGAGGGCCCCTGTCCTCCCAGGTGTGCGGGCTCCAGTGCGAGGACGGCAGCGGCGTCAAACCCGAACTACCAAGCTGGGTTTGGTCTTGCAGACGCGGGTGGTGCCTGCGCCCGCGGAGGCCGGGACCGACCGGAGGGCGGGCAGCACCGGCACACCCCAGGGCGGGGCGGGGCGGGGCAGGAGCTGGCGCCAGGAGCCCGGGGCGGGGCGGCACGTGCCCCGTTAGACGGGGCGGATCGAGCTCTCTGAGGACTTGGAGGCGGGGCCGGGCCAGCTCGCCGGGGGCCGGGCGGGAGGTGCTGCGCCGGTGACCGGTGGGGCGGGGGCGGGGCCACACTCGCAAGCCGCGGAGGGGGCGGGACAGACTCCCCGGTGACCGGCGGGGCGGCCCCACGTGGGCCTGAGTCAGAGTCCCTGCGTGCTTCCCGGATCGGGGCGCGGCCGGAGCCACCGCCGCTGACGGCACAGTCGGGCCACCGCCCGGGTCCCGATGGCGGCGGCCGGAGAGCCCGCATCGACCCCGGAGCCTCCCGCCGCGGAGACCCCGCCGCCGCCGCCGCCGCCGGCCTGCCGCTTCTTCCTGGAGGGCCGCTGCCGCTTCGGCGCCCGCTGCCGCCAGCCCCACCCCGGGGCTCCGGCGCCGGCGCAGCCTAAAGGCGGGGCCGAGGCCGAGGCCGGGGCCGGGACCAAAAAGCCGCCCCTGCGCACCGCCGCGGCCGTCATCCAGCGCATCCGCTGGGACCCGCGCCTGGACCCCGCCGACTTCGCGGTGGGCTACGCCGACCGCTTCCGGGGCGTGCTGGAGGAGCCCTTCGGCGCCTTCTGCTGGGACGAGCCGCTGGCGGCGCTCGGGCCCGGCGCGCTGGCCGTCCCGCAGCACCGCGTCCGCTACTTCCGCTTCCGCGGCCGCATCGTGTGGGACCGCGACTCGCGCACCGACCACGTCTTCGGCTCCGGCTCCTTCGCGGGCCGCGGGCCCACCATCCTGGACGCGCTGGACGCTCTTGGGGACGGAGAAGGGCAGGATGGCACGGACGCGCTCGAGCCCAGAAACGCGCACGGGGACGAGCACGCGCCCCGAACCGGAGAGATGCTGGACAGCGGGGACGAGCAGGGGGTGGACACACCTGGGACCCGGGAAGCACAGGACTGCGCAGCTGCGCCCCCTTCTGGCGCCCCAGCAGGAGGGCTCGGACCGCCGCCCTGGACCGGCCCCCAAGCCGAAGCCGGGAGCCGGGGGACTTCGGTGAAGGCCCAGGAGCTGGGCGGGGCCGGCAGCCCGGCTTCCCCACCGAAGGAGCCAGGGAGGGCGCGGAAGCTGGCCGCCAAAGCCAGGACCAGAGAGGCACGGACCGTGGCGGCCCCAGGGCAGCCCCTGGGTGGCTCCTCCGAGACGACAGAGTGCTGTCAAGAGGAGTGGGGTACTGAGGCCTGGCCCCAAGCTGGCGGAGAGGCCTCCGCGGCCAGGGCCACAGCCCCTCGCCAGCCTCGCCCCACGCACTTTGTGGCCCTCATGGTGACAGAGCCCGGGCTGCAGGCGGGGGTGGCCAAGGCCCAGGAAGAGCTGGTCCGAGCTGCGCCTTTGTGCGCAGCTTTCCTGGTGCCCCCACAGGCCCTGCACCTGACGCTGGCCCTGCTGAGGCTGGGGGGCCCCGGGGAGGCAGTGGCTGCCATCAGTGCGCTCAAACACGCCCTCTCCGACCCGGGACTTCCGGTACCTCCGCAGGTGACGTTTGGGCAGCTGGTGCTCCTGGGCCCCCATGTGCTCTGTGCGCCCCCCTCCCCGTCCCTGGAAAACATGGCCCAAGTGCTGGGCCAGAGGCTGGAGGCTGAAGGGCTCAGAGTGCTCCAGCCCCCAGGGGGGCTGCACCCGCACCTCACGCTGGCCAAGGTCCCCCGGGGCCGTCAGGGCCACCTCGCCGTGCCTGGGCCCAGCCCAGGACAGGAGCTGGGCAGCCAGGTCCTGAGACAACTCTGGCTGTGCCGCATGGGGAGGGCAGGGGACGCCTACCAGCCCCTGGCCGAGATCCCCCTGGGGTGACAGCCCAGGCCCCTCTGGCAGACAAGTCGGATCTCAGTGCCAAACACAGAGGAGATCCAGTCCAAGCAGGAAGGACAAAGCACACGCGCGCTCGCTCTCTCTCTTTAATTGTGGTTTCTCTCAGGGTTCCAAACGTGCTCAAGTGATCCAAAGGAAGAATGAAGGAAAGAAAGGGGAAGAGGAGGGGGGAGGCAGAGAAGGAACATCTGGAAAAAAAGCAGCCTGACAGTCCAGCTGTTTGCAAACTCATTGCACAACCTCCAATTACATGGCAGAAGAGGGAGGGAGGGGAAAAGAAAAGGGAGGAAGGAGGGAAAATAACTTAAATAAACACACAAAAAGAAACGAGAAGGAAATGTGACGTGAGCTGGTGATCCATGAAGGCGGGGAGGGGAACCGTTTACCTGTGCTGAACCGAGGGAGGAGGGGGCAGGAGGGGAAGAGGGAGGGAAGGGGGAAAAAACCAGAAGAAACACTGGGGTGGCGGGAGGAGGGGACACGAGACAACTTAATACACTGCAGACGAGGCGGCCCGGCCGGTGAGGTCCCGCGATGGCCTCCGGAGTCTTCGGTTCGGGTGGCAACGTGGATCTGCTGGTGGCCTGGTGTGGCGGTGGCGTTTCTGGGGCGGGAGCCGAGGGCATGACACAGTCTCTGCGGCTCCCCGCGCCCTGAGCACGGAGGCCCCGGAGGGCTGGCAACAAGAGTCTCTGGTGAGGTAGGCAGGCGGGCGGCGGGCGGCGGGCGGGTGCCCCCACCGCAGCGGGCACGGCAGAGCGGCCGGTCGTCTTCTGCTGGCCCCCTGGCGTGAGATGGGCCAGGGTGCCGAGTTGGTACCGGAGTACGAGCTCGAGAGAGAGAGAGAGAAAACACTGAGACAGCATTAGTAGAGTGCAAGGTGGACAGACCACGCCCCCAACCCTCGGCTGCCCGCCCTCCTCCCCGTCCCGTCCCTCTGAGGCAAAAATAAAAACGTAGAAAAATCTCTGTACAGACTCCCCGGTAGGAAAACGGGGCAGGGAGGGCGGCTCTTCCTGGAGCTCACTCCCCACGATTAATTTACAACCCAAGTCCATGGCTCAAAAACAAGATCCGCAGAGGCGGCGTGGGCCGGCCTGCCCCGCGGTGCTCAGAAGGCGGGCAGCTGCGCCAGGCTGAGGCGGCAGTCGACGCTGGCGTTGTCCGGGCCCGTGTAGGCCAGGCCCAGGGGCTCTAGGAAGGCCCGGCAGGCGGCCTCGCCCTCGAAGGCCAGCTCGGCCTGCAGGTAGGAGACGGGCAGCGCAGGGCGGAAGCTACGGAAACAAGAGGAGAAGGTGATGAGGCGGGCAGCAGGCAGGGGCCCCACGGACAGGGAGTGGGTGCCCCCCCTTCCGACACCCTAAGTGTTCCCTCCGCACATTAGGAAATGTAACCTCTGGTACCCAGCCCTCACCCCACCGCCCACCTCTGGAGCTTGGGGGCCCTCAGACTGGGCTGACAGCCAACCCCAGTGTGCCCCTTTGCCCTCACTTACCTGTCGGGAGGCCGGAAGGAGGGGGGAAGGGCCGCACCGGCTCCTCCACTGCTCCCTGGCCTGAGCAGGCCCTCAGGAGAGGGCCACCGCGGCCGAGGGCAGGGGCCAGGCAGATGGCCCAGGGGGACAGGCACAGGACGGGAGCGCTCACCGCTACTCTGGGGGCCTGGCCCTCACAGGACCCCAACCCTGGTCTGAGCGCCTCAGGGATGCCCTGGGCACAGGAGTCAGCCAGCACTTCCTACACTTCCCACACAGGAAATTCTGGTTGGCAACGAGAGCGCTGGGCCCGTGCCAGAAGCAGCTGCCCTCAGTGCTCAGTGCTCAGTGCCTGAGGAGCGAACCCTCGTCTGTAGGCTGAGTCATCTACCTCACAAACAACCCCGGGCGGGCACTGCAGGGCCAGGGCACAGCCACTGCGTGTCACCCAGGAAAGGAAGCCGCTGGCTGAATGTACTCAGAGCTGGCCCTGCCCCAAGCCCATTGGCCCCAGCCTTGCTGTCCATGGAGCCAGGAGCCTGCTGCCCCCCCACATGACCCTGGCCACCTGCAGGGACATGTCTGCCAAGGAAAGGCGGCACCAGTGCCAGGCCAGGCACTCCCACAGGCACCAGCCATCTGTCCTTCCGCGGTCGAGCACACACACTAACAGGGAAGAGTCGCCGGCCCAGCTACCTGAGCTGGAGGAAGCCTGGGAGCTCCCCCAGGGGCCTGGCGGGCTGCAGAGGGTGCTGGTCTGTTACCGCTCCTGTGCATCCTCACCCCACATTTCTGCCCACATCCCCTCTGTTTCTGTGGCCCTAGAGTGTCCCTATCCTTCAGTTCGACCATCTTTTCCCAGGCTCCAAACCATCCACATGGGAAAGCTAACAGACATGGTTGGTGTTCAAGGCCTCATACCCCTGACCGGAGCAGGGCTCTCACCCTCAGAGGCTGGCAGCGGGCCCCCTTAGTGCTGTGGGGCGCCATGCACTGTGGGGCGCTATGGGCTGGTCAGCAGCAGCCCCGGTCTCTACCCACCACAGGCCAGGAGCAGCCCCGGCTGTGACAACAAAAGGAACCTCCCTGCCCTAAGCACACATCCCCGCACTCTGGATGGGGCACACGGCGGGCACTCAGTGTGTGGGCACAGGCCCAGTCTGCCTGGCATCTCGCATGTTTCCCTAACATGTGGCCCCTCAGAAGGCTCAAGTAGGAATGGGGCCCTGGCCCGTCAGACCAGAAGCTGCCAGAGCAGCGCTGTTTTCTCGTTTGTCTCTAGAGCAAGGGCTGCGGCCGGAGAGCCAGAGAGAGAGGCAGGCCGAGGCCTCGAAGGCAGGGAGCCCCGAGCAGAGAAGCCAGGGTCCCACGTGATGTGAGTGGGAGGATGATTGGCAGGGGGTGGAGGGACCCCGGAACCAAAGAAAGAAAGAAAGAAAGAATGGCGAAGAGGCCAGAGGGAGGGCTGAGCAAAGGGGAGGAGGGACAGCAGGAGAGGACAAGAAAGGGAGAGGGACGAGAAAGGGAGAGGGGCCAGGACAGCCGGGACTGGAGCTAGAGGCCTGCTCGCCAGGGGTGGAGGGGGAAGAGACGGGGTCACGGGGACCTCAGCTGAACATACGTTTTGATCATGGCCTTGAGGGCGGCTTTGCGCTCCCGGTCCACAAACTTGTCTATGAGGTAGCCAGACATACAGGGCGCGCGGCCGTAGAGCCGGAAGAAGCGGTGGTAGTTGCCCAGAGCCCAGGCTGCCCTCAGAGCCAGGGCATGGGCCACGCAGAGGTCCGTCTTCAGCTCCCGCGTCAGGTAGGCCAGCTCCGTGGTGATGTCGCCCGAGTTGTTGGTGAAGATGTAGTAGAGGATGCGGTAGGCGGTGAACTCACCCACGTTGCCGGGCAGGCTCTCCGCGTACAGCGACTTGAGCTGCGTCTGGCACTGGTTGAACTCCTCGTGGTCACCCTGGCGGGGGAGGGCAGGCAGGGAGGAGGGGCAGAGTGAGGCTGGGGAGCCAGCCCGGGAGGAGCCCAGCAGCCCGGGAAGAGCCCGGAGCCCACTCACCTTCTCCAAGGCGATGCGGGCGTGCGTCTCGTACACCTCCACCGTGAACTCAGTGCGCACGCCTTGCACCTGGGGCAGCAAGGAGAGGAGTCAGGCCAGAGCAGGGCGGGACACACCTCCACCCCCCAACTCCAATCCCACCCCCACCCCCAGCCCCGGTCACCCAGCCCAGCCCTCACCGTCAGGTCCTGCCGGATGGACTTCATCTGCTCGCAGGCGAAGGCGTAGTCCTGCTTCTCTTTCCACTGGGACTTGACCATGCACAGCGACTTCTTCAGAACCTGGAAGGCGTCACACGGAGTCAGAGACAGCCGGCAGAGCAGGGACACCCAAACCCCGTAAGCCCCGCGAAGCCCCGCTAACGCGGTGTCTGAAGTGAAGGCTGCAGCAGCACACCCCCAGCGGCCCGCCAGGAGGAAAAGCCCGGACCTCGGAGAGCTCCTGAGCCCAGTCCCCAGTCAGCGCCCGGCCTGCGTGCACCCGGGACAGGACACTCACGGCCTCGTCCCTCAGGACGCTGGGGCCTTTGTCCCATTTCAAGGGGGACCCAGAGGCCCCGAGGGCTAGAAAGCCCCCAACAAGGCCGCGTGCTTGGGACTCAGGGCTCAGCTCCTCTCCAGTGCCCACCCGGCCAGCGGGCCTGCCCTCCCGGCACTTACCGCCACAGGGCGCACTGTGGACGGGTCGGGGGCGCAGGTGAGCCGCAGGTAGTGCTTGGTGATGTCGGGGCAGGTGCCCACGATCTGCAGCTCCTGCCAGTCAGGGTCGCCCCCGCTGCTCTCCAGGCCGCCCACCTGCAGCACCAGGGGCTCGAGGCGCAGGCGGCGGGAATGTCCGTGCTGGAAGCGGGCCGCCCGCTTCTGCTTCTTCAGCTCGCGCTCGGGGTCCTCACACTCCAGCACCGCCATCCTCTTGCGGTTGCGCTTGGTGGGCGCTAGATCGTGCCTTGGGGGTAAGGGGGAAGGAGGAGAGGGGTCGGGTCGGTAAAGGAGACCGGCATGGAGCACCCCAGGCCTCTGCTAAACCGCTCGAGGTCACAGCACCCTCCCTGGCCACCCCAAGGCTCGCTCACCTCTTCCCTCGCTGCGCCCTGCCTCGGCCCCGATCCATGTGGGCCCCCCGGCCCCCCCGGCCCTTGGGGGGCGGGTTCCTGCGACCCACAGGCTGGCACTCATTCCCTGAGAAGGAACTGTCCGAGTCCGAGTGGGAGTCACTGTGCGGAGAGGCAGGGAGGTGAGGCCCGGGCCGGCTCCCCGAGGCCCGCCCCCGCCACCCCCGGAGCCTGCACCCACCTGCGGCGGAAGTGGCGGTTCGGGGACCGGGAGGAGGAGCGGGAACGGGACTCTGTGCTGGAGGAGGAGCTGTGGTCCTTCATGAAGACATTGCGGTTGCCGAACTTGGCAAAGCTGCCGCCCCGCGCTCGGCCAGCACCCCCAGCCCCTGGCGTCCCTCGCTGTGACTGGGCACCCCCGCCCCTGGTCGTGGCGCCTGCCCCCCTGGGAGGGTGAAGGCTGCTGGGGGCCTCCCACCGCTTCTTCTTAGGGCTCTCGGCCACAGTGTCCCGAGTCAGCCTGAGGACAGAGCAGGGCATCACCAACCCACGCCCTCCCTCTGCCCGGAGACACGCCACCCGATGCTTCACCCACCTGCATCCGCAGCTCAGCTCCACCCCTGGGTCCCCCCGCCTCCCCCGGCACACAAGCTGCCTTGGCCTCACCTCCAGCCGGACTCACCCGGGCAGAGGCTCCCGGCTCCAGTCGATGGTGTAGGCAGAGCCATCCTGGAGCCGGGCCTGCAGCACCTCCTTGAGCAGCTTCTCCGTGCGGTCCTTGTCCTCCTCCGACTCGCAGGCCGTGAAGCAGCGCTCCACGTACTCCTTCATGTCCTGCGGCCAGTCGTCTGGCTTCCCTGACAGGCCCCCCCTGCACAGGGCAGAAGTGGGGGCTCAGCTGGGAGCACGCACTCCGGCACAGCCTGTCACCACGGCCTGTCACCATGCACAGGCAGGCACAGCTCCAGCGTTTGCTTCCCTCCCGTTTGACACTCACAGCAACCCCAGGGAGCCACCCGCCCTCTGGAGCAGCAGAACCCGCATGGGTGTCCTCCATGCCGAGGACCGGCCAGGGCCGTCACCTGTGGTTCTGGGCCTTCTCGGGGTTGGGCTGGGGGCCGAAGCCGCTGTGCTGGCCCTCCGAGCTGGAGCTGAAGTTCTGGTTGGTGACAGCGAAGGGCCGTTTCTGAATGTTGAACTTGAGACCACCAGTCCCGGGGGCCGCTGGGGGAGGGGGGGAGCAGCGAAAGCTGGAGTTAGGCCTACCCCAGCCGCCTGGGACCGCAGGCCCAGCTCCAGGCAGCCACCCCAAGGCCCTGGGACAATCCCTGCACCCCGTGCCTCCCGCCCCGGCTCCTGCGCTGCCCACTTACGCTTCATGCGGTTCCACAGCTGCTGGCCCTTCTTGGGCTTGGCCGGCTCGGCGTAGCTGTGCTGCCCGTAGGCCTGGCCCGAGGCGGGCCCCGCCTGGCTGTGCTGGGTGGCCGGCGTCGTCCCAGGCTGGGGGCCGCTGTTCAGAGCGTGAGCCCCGTGCGAGGGGTTGGAGGGCTGAGGGGGCTGAGCTGCTGGCAGCTGCTGGGGAGGGGCCTGGTAGGACATGCCGTCATCCATGCCGGGGACGGGGGGCTGTCGGAGGAAGTGGCGCTGAGGGCGGGAGCAGTCTCTGGCTGCTCTCTCACACTCAACGTCACGTCACTCAGCTTTCAGCACGGCCGTGACCCTCTCCCGGGGAACGGGGTCTCCTAACCACTCTTCCATGGCTGAGAAGACGGGCTCAGACAGGCTCTCCCTTCCCATGGCCCCAGCTGGTAAGTGGCAGCAGCCCCACCCCCCCAACAGTGGTTATGGTCGGAGCACGTGTCCCGTATCAGCCATGGCGCACACACACGATTGCACCCTCGCAGCAGCTCTTAACACCCAGTCACCCCTCCCACTGAGCTGGCTGGGCAGCAGGTGGCAGGACTTGTACTCACACCCCAGAGAGGGTACTGGGATTCGAACCCAGGTCTCTCGCCTCACCTCCCTGCACTAGCTCCACCACTCCGCCAAGGTGCAGGTGCGTGCAAGGCCAGATCATGTGTGCAGTTGTGCACAAGCGGGGGGCACGCTCAGACAAGCTGCCACACTACAGACTGTCCCCACCATCACCCCAACAGCCCAGGCCCTGGCCTTGCCAAGCCCCAAAGTTTCAAAACCCCTGCTCTGCCCTCTTCGTCCTCGAAGCAGGACTTGCTTGGCAGGAGGCGGGTGGCTCAACAACCCTCACAAACTACCTCCCCAGCCGGAACCTGGCGCAGACACGGGCTGGGCGTTACCTGGTTCAGAGTGCCTTGGTGCTGGGGGGCTGCTGGCTGCTGGGGTGTGGCTGAGCCGTAGGAGCCGGCCATCCCGTACTGGGAGGGGGAGCCGTAGCCCTGGTACATGCTCTGCGCAGGCAGGGAGGAGGGTGAGTGGCCGGCCGGCTCCCCTCCTCCTGCTGCTCAGCAGCCCTGACCCTCCCCTCACCGCTCCCCCCTCTGCCCCTCTCTACCACATAAATGCACCAAATTCTCTTACGTTAAGAAAAGCATTTCATGAAATTAAAATAAAAACATATTTAAATTGTTCAAAAAGTAAAAAAAAAAAGAAAAAGAAAAAATGAAATTAAAACCTCTATAAGCCTATACTCTATTTCCGCTCCTTCTCGGAATTTCTCCCTATTCCACAAACATCTGCTGTGTGCCAGCTCTCTAAGCCCCACACCAGGACAAAATTAAAAGATGACAACCCACGCCCGAGTGAAGCTGGCACTCAGATACACGCAGCGGCAGACACACGTGGCCCGTCCAGCAGCAAGGGCTGTGGGAAGGCCAGGAGGGCAGCGGAGCGGAGGGCAGGGCCCGCCCTGAAGTGACAAAGCTCCCGGAGAAAGGCGCCCTCCGGGAGGCGGGGACGGCGAGGAGGGCCCACAGGAGCAGTGGCCGCGGAGCACTCGTGGCCGGGGCGTGGCAGGTGGAGGTCTCTGCAGGGAGCACGGGGATAGGGCCCGGGGGGGGGGGAAGGGGGCACTCACCATGGGGTAGTAGTAGTTGTAGGGGTAGGCGTAGCTGTACTGCTGGTACCACTGGTAGTACTGCTGCTGCTGCTGCTGCTGCAGGGCCGAGGCTTCCGCCTGAGACACATACTGTGGGGAGAGGCCACACGCCGTCAGCCTGGGCAGCAGGCGCCCACGGCCACGACCCCCGTTAACCAGCAAACAGGTTAACGGCCCAGGAACAGAACTGGGGACGTCTCTCCAGAGAGCCAGCCTCTGCCCTCAGACTCAGGCACCTCCGGGACGGGACAGGCGGCCCCTGGACGCTTCGAGGACAGTCCTTGCCTCCCCCACCCTAGGAGCTGGAGTGACACGAGAGGACACCGAGCCTGTCCCTCCCCCAGCGGCCCCCGTCGAGGTGCCCGGCCCCGTGGTCTCACCTGCGAGCTGGCCACAGGCCCGTTGCTGCTGGCCTTGGAGCTGCCGGCGGCGCCCGCCTTGCTGATGCTGGCCAGGGCCTGGCGGGCCTTCTCCCACTCCGGGTTCTCGTGCATGGGCGCCTCCATGCCGTTCTCCCTGCCCGCCCCGGCCACCATGCTGTACTGGGAGGACCTGTGGGGAGCACAGAGGCGCTGCTGTCCCGGCTGAGTGGCCGAGGTGGGATCGCAGGGCCCCTCTCTGCCTACTGCAGCCTGGCGTCTGCAACCCAGGATGTGGAAACCCACTGTGTCTGGGTTTTCTGTGTGGAACCATGAGACTGCCTGCCTACAGGGCTTGTGCAGGGGCCTGGTGCACAAGCAGGTGTTAAATATAGAGCAAACACAGCGACTGCTGTACCTGCAGAACCTAACACAGGAGCTGGTGCCTCGCAGGTCTAAGTGGTCTAGGAACTATCAACTCTGGCCCACACCACCCCACTCGGCAGGTTACAATCACACAGTTTTGGAAAGAATAAGGAATTCTTCCTGATAACACCCTAGCCAGCAGGTTACAATCACAGTTTCAGAAAAAAGTAATTATATCAAAAAGATAAACGGCTAGGTGTGGGGGCTGCCCCAACCGCGGTTCACTGAACGAAGCATGCCACTTTGCAAACCAGCACTGGGCTGTGCAGAGGGCGGGCTCAGGAGGCTCGACGCCCCACACTGCAGCCCATGCTCCCTCACTCTGCTGCCTGGACCAGCCCTGCCTGACCCGGAGGCCCCACCCTGAGGAGGAGGAGGAGGAGGAGGAGGAGGAGGAGGAGGAGGACGACGACGAGGACGACGACGACAAGGACTCTGGGCTTGCTCCTCCCGCCACCCCCTGCCCCTCCAGCCTGTCCCTCTGCCCACTAACCAGTCTGTGCCACGTTGATCACCCACATTGGCCGCCATCTGGACCCTGGGGTGTAAGGGGTGGACCTCGGGAGCCAGACTGCTTTTTCACTGTCTGCGAGAAAAGGGATCAATCAGGGAGACTCAAGCAGCAGCAAAAGACACGTCACAAAGTGGGGGTGAGACGCTGATGGGCTCAGGAGAAGCCAGGCAGGAAAGGGAGTGTGGTCTAGTCTGAAGACAGCCTGGGTGTGGGATAAGGGCCAGCGAGAGGAGAGGGGAGGAGAGGATTAGGGGGAGGGGAGGGGAGGGTTAGGGGGAGGGAAGGGGAAAGGGGAGGGGAGAGGGCCTGGCCTCCTGTAGTGTCCTGGGTGGGAAACGAAGGACGTGAACCAGAGGGAAGTCTGCGGGATTTCCCAGAGGGGACGAGAAGGATCTGAAACCCATATGAAAGGGAAAGACTTGGGGGACACCCTGAGACGGGAGGTGAGGCGGGGGAGACACCCTGAGACGGGAAGTGGGGGCTCGGCCAAGGGTGAGGAGCCTGTGCCTTCCTGTGAAGCAGCAGGAGAGAGGGGACACTCTCATGAGCCTGAGTGGACCCTGAGGGCTGGGAGAACTTGGCAAAGGCAGGGTCTGGCCCAGCCTGGAGCAAAAAAGAGGGGAACACAACAAGGTAAGAGAAGCTGAGGGTGCCCAAGGAGAATGCCAACGTGAAGCAATGGCTTCCTAGACAGTGCTCAGGACAGGGTGGGGGACCTTCTTCCTGCCTAGGGACGTCTGGATACTTGTGACAACAGTCGAGGCCGTACACAACCATCCACTTCGAAACTGGTCTGCTCTTGGCCTGCGGACTGAGGGGTCCCAGGTTCGATTCAGGCCAAGGGCATGCACCTTGGTTGCGGGCACATCCCCAGTGGGGGGTGTGCAGGAGGCAGCTGATCGATGTTTCTCTCTTATTGATGTTTCTAACTCTCTATCCCCCTCCCTTCATCTCTGTAAAAAAAAAAAAAAAAAAAAAATCAATAAAATATTTTTAAAAATTAAAAACAAAAAAACTAGTCTGCTCTATTTGGTCAGACGTTTAACCTAACACCACACTCCTAATGCCTTGGCAGGGCCAAGCCAAATGATGTCCAGGGCCCTCGGACCCGATGCTCCCCACCCGTGTCTTAAGAGAACTATTTCAGAGAGAGAGAGAGAACACGAACCACTTCAAAAAGGTTCCCAAAGGCGAAGAACTCTGTTCCTGACGTAGAGGGAGGGGTCGGCCTGCGGGGGGGAGGGGGGGAAACAGGGGACGGGACCGCCCGGGTGGAGGTCAGCAGAGAAAGCTGCGGGGTGCCTGAACCCTTTGGGAAGGTAAGAGTGGGGTGGGGAGGACACAAGAAAGCGAATGGATGTCTTGCAGACCAGGACTTGGGGGGCGGGGGGGCGCAGGAGGGGTGTCTAAGCCTAAAGGAATAATAACAAATATGGGTGAGCTCCGAGGCGAAGCCTGCTGGAGAACCCGGACATCCTACAGGATACGGAGGGGCCGGGAACAGGTGCCAGGAGCTGGGAACGGCCCTAAACAGAAGGCGGGAGGGAGGGGGGCGGCGCTGGCGGGCCCCGGAAGGAGGCTGGGAGGCTGGGGAAAGGCCTGGCGGGGTCCTGGGCAGGTGTAAAGGGTGGAGGCACCCGATCCCCGGCCCGTCCAGCAGGCAGAGTCGGGAAAGGGGGGACGGGAGGGAAAGGAAGAGCCAGCCCGACCCCCGCACCGGGCCCCGTGAACCACCGCCCCGGCCGCGCCGCGCGTGCGCACCGCGTTACCGGGAAGCAGCGGGCGCCAGCCCCCCCCCCCCCTTATCGCCCGGGACAACGCTGTTGTCTCCGTGGAACCGCCCAGCCAATAGGAGACAAGGGGCGCCGGGGGCCCCAGGAATTCCAAGGGAGCGCGCGGGCCGCGGCGAGCGACGGCACGGGGCTGCGGGGTGCCCCGGCCGCGCGCCCCGCCCGGCCGCGCAGGCGCAGAGCCGCCCGCGCCGCCACACCCTGCGGACGCTCGCGCGCCGCGTCCGTTGGGGTGACAGCCGCGCAGGCCTCGGGGCCCGCGGGGGGCGTGAGGCCGGAAACCGGCGCCGCGCCGACCGGTCCGCCGGCTCCCCGCCCCTCACACCCACCTCCGCCGCTCGCCCCGGGGACTCGGCAGCTGCGGGCCAAACCGACGACACCACCGCCGAGGGGAGGCTCGCGAGCCGGCTGACTCCCGTCTTCCTCGGGCTTCGACGTTCGGAGCGCGGCGTCATGACGTCAACCGCAGGCCTCGCCCCGCCCCGCCCCGCCCCACAGGCGACCAATGGGAGTCCGGATCTGGGCTTTGAGCCCGCCCTCCCGCCTACGCACTCAGCGGGCGGGCGCTCTGCACAAGCCGGAAGACGGGAAGGGGACGGTGGCCCCGAGGGGACACGCGCTTCCGACTTGGGCGTCGCGTTCGCCCTGTAAGCCGTTTTGGCTGCGTTCGCGGTAGCCATTTATTATTCTGACTGTCAGACACACACCCGAGTGATGGGGCTTGTGGGACGGCCCGCCGTCCGTCCAGGGATGGGGGAGCCTGGGGAAGGGAAGGACGAGCGCAAAGAAAAGGGGTGCACACAGGCCCCACCGGAAATGGAAGCTGCCTTAGTCCCTGAAACGGGACGGCGCGTTCGGCGGAGGGGACGGCGGGTGCCAGCGCTGGGAGACAAGCCCCGTTTGGGGGGTGGGGCATAGAGGGGGGACGGCAAAATACAGGTGTGGGGTCCAGGAGAAGAGGCAGGCCCGCAGGGGCGGGCAGGGGGCAGGTCCATAGGGGCAGGGTGGGGGCAGGCGGGCAGGGGGCTGGTCCGTAGGGGCAGGCAGGGGGCTGGTCCGTAGGGGCAGGGTGGGGGCAGGCGGGCAGGGGGCTGGTCCGTAGGGGCAGGCAGGGGGCTGGTCCGTAGGGGCAGGCAGGGGGCAGGCCCATAGGAGACGGCAGGGGGCATTGGGGCAGGCCCATAGGTCGGCAGGGCAGGGCCTGTAGGGGGCGGGCCAGGAGGAGGGGGGAGGCGGGCAGGGGGCAGGTCTGCAGAGGCAGGCAGGGGGCAGTGGGCTGGTCCTTCGACGCAGTTGATGTAGGCTGAGGAGTGTTTGCACCATCTCTATAAACAGGCCTGTTTTACTTATTTATTTTAAATATGTATTTTATTGATTTTTTTACAGAGAGGAAAAGAGAGGGATAGAGAGTTAGAAACATCGATGAGAGAGAAACATCCATCAGCTGCCTCCTGCACACCCCCCACTGGGGATGTGCCCACAACCAAGGTCCATGCCCTTGATCAGAATCGAACCCAGGACCTTTCAGTCCGCAGGCCGATGCTCTATCCACTGAGCCAAACCGGTCTCGATCAGATCTGTTTTTTTTTTTTTAAACTTCTCCTAACAAAACTCGCAAGTGTCTCCCTTCAGGACCCGGATGAGATCACGCAGTCCGGGTGCAGGACGGGTCCCAGCGGCTTCCTGCCCAGCTCCTGCTGTCACACGCGTTCCCATTGGCCCTGCATCTCCTGCTGTGGCCCTCAGAGTCCTCGTAGATTCGCAGAAAGGCTGCGGGAGTGCGGGGCCCGCATACCCTGCTCCCAGGGTCCCCGATGCCCTCACCCCCCATGACTGTAAGATCCGTTACAACGAAGAAGCCCACGTTGGCACTTGGCTAACTGGACGGCCGATTTAATGGGAATGTCACCACGTTTCCCGCCGATGTCGCTGAGTCCAACCCAGGGGACCACAGTGCATTCAATATTTAGGGTCCCTGTCGTTTGTCCCCCTGTATCTAAGGTGGGTCTTTGTACCCAACATCTAGTTAGAGCTTTCTTTTCTCCCCAAGCCTGCAATCTCCGCCTTTTATTTTTTAAATATATTTGATTGGCCAAAACTGGTTTGGCTCAATGGATAGAGCGTCGGCTTGGGGACTGAAGGGATCCGGGTTCGATTCCCGTCAAGGGCATGTACCTTGGTTGCGGGCATATCCCCAGTAGGGGGTGTGCAAGAGGCAGCTGATCGATCACTCTCTCATCGATGTTTCTAACTATCTCTCTCCCTTCCTCTCTGTACAAAATCAATAAAATATATTTTAAAAAAATAAATAAATGTATTTGATTGCTTTTTTTTACAGAGAGGAAGGGAGAGGGGGAGAGAGTTAGAAATATCGATGAGAGAAAAACACCTATCAGCCACCTCCTGCACACCTCCTACTGGGGATGTGCCCGCAACCAAGGTGCATGCCCTTGACCGGAATCGAACCTGGGGCCCTTCAGTCCGCAGGCCCACGCTCTCTCTGCTGAGCCAAACCGGACAGGGCTCTCTGCCTTTTAAAAGCAGTGTTTGTCACCGTTCTTGAGAGAGATCATTGGTGTGATTATGTTTAAACCTATCGACTTGCTAAGGATTTCTATTTGTCGTGTTTCTTTTTTATTCTGTTTTACTTTAGAGTTTGTTAGTGAAGCAGAGAGACAGAGTGAGCTGCTACACAGACCTTCCTTTGCTCCCCTTTCCCCTTTTTACTTTATTTTTTTACGTATTTTTTTTTTCCAGAGAGAGAAACATCAATGATGATATAGAATCATGGATCAGCTGCCTCCTGCACACCCCACACTGGGGATTGAGCCCGCAATCCAGGCATGTGCCCTGACCGGGAATCAAACCGTGACCTCTAGGTTCATAGGTTTATGCTCAACCACGGAGCCACCCCAAAGCCAGGCGCCTCTTCCTCTTTTCCTGCCTTCTTTGGGTTTGAGCATTTGTAAGACTTGGTTTTTTAGAGCAGTTTTCTCAGGGCCTCTGGGAGGCGCTGTGGCTCAGTTCCCCTCCAAGTCCCGCGGCGGGAAATGCTCTGATGGCGGGGCTGTGGCGATTTCAGGGCCCAGCTTCTCCCCAGGATCGCTCTCCGCCCTGGACTGATACCCGGAGTTGTGAGCACCGTCATTGCTGCACGTATTTCGCCTGGTTTGGGGCTGTTTCATGAAGGCGGGCAAATCCACGTCTCTGCTCATCTTGCTTGGCAGCGAAACTGCTCATATGTTATTTTAAAATAAAGATTTCCTGTTTTAAAAAAATACATATTTTATTGATTTTTTTACAGAGAAGAAGAGAGTGAGATAGAGAGTCAGAAACATCGATGAGAGAGAATCATCAATCAGCTGCCTCCTGTACACCTCCCACTGGGGATGTGCCCACAACCAAGGTACATGCCCTTGATTGGAATCGAACCTGGGACCCTTGGGTCTGCAGGCCGACGCTCTAACCTAGGGGTGTCGAACTCAATCAGAGAAGGGGCCAAAATCTAAAATCCAGCCTAAATCGCGGGCCGAATGGCTTACTGAACAGTCATAAACTGTCATTGTGATGGAAACGCAGCGGAGTGCAGTGATGACAGCGCGGTGCGGGCCACATTGCAAGGCCTGGCGGGACGGATTTGGCCCGCGGGCCTTGTGTTTGACACATGTGCTCTAACCACTTGAGAACACCGATTTTGGAAAAAGATTTACTTTTTTGTTTTTAATATATGTTTATTGATTTCAGAGAGGAAGGGAGAGTAGAAACATTCATGGTGAGAGAGAATCATTGATGGGCTGCCTCCTGCACGCCCCTCCCCACTGGGGATCCAGCCTGCAACACGGGCATGTGCCCTGACCAGGAATCGGACCATGACCTCCTGGTTCATAGGTGGACGCTCAACCACAGAGCCATGCCTGCGAGGAAAAATATTTACTTTTTTTTAAATGTCGGGCCAGGTTCATTGGCGGGAAATCAGGCCCAGGCCGCCTGAGTCACTGGGTAGTTTGCAAACATCCAGCCAACATCACTCAGCACGCACTTCCGCTTCAGGACCCGGTCTCAGCCACTAGGGGGCAGTGTTAGAGAGCAAAGCAGCCCCAATAGCACAGGGCTGGCCCCTAGGGTCACAGGGCACAGTCACTGGAAGGAAGTCCATACAGGTAGCCCCCAGGTCCCCGGCCCCCCCCGAAATCGGAGTGGGTTTCTCTTTCCCAGCTTCAGGCCCTCACATCGAAAGCTGCCTTGAACATACATCCCTTGCTGTTTGCAAACTGGAAATAATGAGGGGGCACAGGGCATTCGAGACCAACAAGCCCTGATCCCGAACCCCCCCCTCCCCCCGGAACGTTCTCGTGTGCGTGTTGGGATCCGGGGGTTTTCAGTTTTGAGGGGCAACGTGGTGTATAGTCCACAGGGCACCTCGTCCCCTCAGGACCCCGCAGGACAGGTGCAAGCGTCCCGTCCGCGTCCCCGCAGGAAGCAGGTGAATACGGCCACCAGGTGGGGACATTGTCTCCGAGCGGCCAGTGCCAGGGCGGGTCAGGCGCGGCTGCTCTTTGGATTTCAGAAATTTCTTCCCCCCCCACCCCTTTTTTTTTTCTCTATTTTATTTTTTAAAAATATATTTTATTGATTTTTTTTACCGAGAGGAAGAGAGAGGGATAGAGTTAGAAACATCGATCAGCTGCCTCTTGCACACCCCCTACCGGGGATGTGCCCGCAACCAAGGTACATGCCCTTGACCGGAATCGAACCCGGGACCTTTCAGTCCGCAGGCCGACGCTCTATCCACTGAGCCAAACCAGTTTCGGCTTTTTTTTTTTTTTTTTTCTTTTTTCTTTTAAAATATATTTTATTGATTTTTTACAGAGAGGAGGAGAGAGGGATAGAGAGCTAGAAACATCGATGAGAGAGAAACATCAACCAGCTGCCTCTTGCATACCCCCTACCAGGGATGTGCCCGCAACCAAAGTACATGCCCTTGACCAGAATCGAACCTGGGACCTTTCAGTCCGCAGACCGACGCTCTACCACTGAGCCAAACCGGTTTTGGCTCGGCTTTTTTTATTTTTACTTTTATTGATTAAGGTATTACATATGTGTCCATATCCCCTCATTGCCACCCCCACCCTCCCCCAATCCTGCCCTCACCCCCTGTGCCCATTGGTTAGGCCAGCGGTCGGCAAACTGCGGCTCGAGAGCCACGTGTGGCTCTTTGGCCCCTTGAGTGTGGCTCTCCCACAAAATACCACATACAGTGCGATTGAAACTTCATGGCCCATGCGCAGAAGTCTGTTTTCAGCTCTCAAAAGAAATCTCAGTCATCGTACTGTTGACATTTGGCTCTGCTGACTCATGAGTTTGCCGACCACGGGGTTAGGCCTATGTGCATGCATACACAGCCTTTGGTTGATCTCTCCCCCCTCACCCCCGCCCTCCCCTGCCTTCCCTCTGAGGTTTGAGCATCTGATCGATGC